TTTATTTAGCTGCTAGATTATAATTCAATTAAATATTTTACACCTGGACACTTTCAAAAACAGTGAAATTAATAAGTAAAATAACCAAGCTTAGCAATATCTTTGGGGGGAAAACAGCTCTTTAAAATTTTTTGTCTGATCCTTCCCTCCCCCTCTCCAATTCTTGCCCCCAAACTCAGATTTAAAAAGTTTAATAACTGACCACAAGACCCAAATTATGAATGGCTAGTCTCAGGTACAATTAAACACTACTTTTATTTCCTTTTGCCCAGGTCTCCTTTGAGTAACAGTAATCTACTTTATGCTGCATCTTAGATGTGCTCAGAAAGTCCCAGCCCCATTGAAGTCAATGGCAAAATTCCGAGGCCTAGATTCACAGAAGTACCTAGGCACCTAAACCTCAGACTTAATCTGGCTTTAGGCACCTAAGAGTTTAGGCTCCACTGCAATTCACAAAACTCCATCTGAACCCTGTAGGAACCTAAACTCACTTGGCACCTGTTTTTGCACTAAAAAGTTTCCTAGATACCTAAGTTTCTGCTTCTGAATATGGCATTGTTGCCTCCTTCTAGGCGTCCAGGCACCTCAGGCCCAGAGCAATTCACAAACCAGGAGAAGATATGCATTCTGCTTCTTGTGTTACATGTGGGGCCCGATCTGGTAGGCCTCTTTGGCTTAGTGAAGTACTATATTTTGTACACATGAATAACATGGTTAATATTTTCAAAGCTGCAGAAAACAGCCGGGGGTAGGGAATGAGGGGGAGGTGTTCCCTCATAACTTTTAGCCCACTGGTTAGGGTACTCGCCTGGATGTGGGAGACCCCCACTCCTAGTCCCCCTGCCACTTGAGGGGGAGTCATTGGAGAGAGAGAGGGGAGAAGCATGTGAATGGCTCTGTAGCCTTGTGGTTAGAGCATTCGCACATAATGTAGGAGACCCAGGATCCAGTCCCTCTGCTCCAACAGCTCTAGTCTATTTGCAACAGCTTCAACAGGAGACCGAGGGGGGCCACGCATCAGACTATCCCATAGCCCAGTGAGGGCACTCATCTGAGAGGTAGCAGATCCCTGTTCAAAACCCTTCTCCCCCTCAGAGGCAGGGGTACTCGAATCAGGAGTCTCTCACATCCCAGGTGAGTATCCTAACCACCGGGCTAAAAGTTTAGAGGGAGGTCGCACCTGCCCCAGCCACCAGCTTCTTGCAGAGGTGCCTAACTCCAAAGAGAAGCTCCTGGTTGAAAATTGCAAGCAAAGCTAGGCCCGTGTGACACTCTGTACTTCAAAACAGCACTCTGGAAACCCCCTATTTACTACTGTCATATCATTATATTTTGTACGAAGTAGGCCTTCTGAGGTATCATTTTAAATGTCTTGATCTGTTGAACATTGATATCCTGTTGGATTGTATGTGCTATCATTGTGTGTGAAGTTATGAAGTTTTGCTATGTGTGTGTTACTGAAATATATTGTGAGGTTGGGAACACCCACAACAAGCCTTTAAGATACGACAGCGGAGTAGCCAGACACATTGACAGCCCATTAAAGGGAATCCACTCTTCCAACAGCCATATCAGAAGACTTCTCAGAGAGAACACGTAGACAATAGAGACTGCTTGACCAATGGGGACTGCCTGATCCCCAGGTCAAAAGATCTTTCCAGCAAGCTGGAAGAAGCTATAAAAGAGGGGAAATGATATGATCACTTGGCCTCTCCCCACTCCCAATTAAACACCAGGAAATAAGTCTGGACTTGGAGGGCAAAGACTTTGAACTGGGGGAGGTGGTCCCAAGCCAGGAAAGAGTTCAAGCCCGTGTATTGAAGATCTGTGACCTGTTTGTACCATCTGTCAGGGTGAGACGCTGCTTGATTCAAATCCTATTTAGTTTGTAGAATTCAGACTGCGAATTTATTTTTATTTCTTAGGTAACCAACTTTGGTCTCTACGCTTGCTATTTATAATCACTTAAAATCTATCTTTCTGTAGTTAATAAATCTGTTTTATATTTTACCGAAAACACTGTGTTTTGGTTGAAGTGCTTGGGAAATCTCAGCTCAGTTTACAAAGTCTAGTGTATGTCCTCTTCACATCAAGGGAGGGGCGGACTGAGTAATGAACTTGCAATGGTCAGAAGCCTGCCCAGTGTAAGACAGTACAGTTCTGGGGTGCAAGGCTGGAGAGCTGGGGGGAATTGGCTGGAGCCTCCCTACTGATGGTTCACGAGTGCCTGGGAGATCATTCACGTAACTCAGTTGGATGTGTCTCTGCTTGTGGATGTCTGTGTAAGTGCTGTACCTGCCAGAGGTTTGTGGCTTGACACAGCATAACAGTGTGAGAGGGATATCCCAGGTTGGTGGGGTAGAGGGCTCAGGGGTCCCAAGATCCAGTTTGCATTCCGGGCATCCCATCACAGCACCTCCCTGCAATCTTAACTTAGGTGCCGATCTCTGTGAGGGGGTGGGACTTAGCACACACCCCACTGGTCAGCATCTCCCACTGGCTAGTTTGGGCAGCTCCCCACCTCAAATTCTGACTTTTGTGAATCGCTTTTTAACACTTTGTCTACCCTGGAAAAAAACAAAACAAAAAACAAAACCTATGGCACCAAGTCTCAGAGCCCGGTTCAACTGACTTGAGCTCACCCTGTGGCACTAAAAATAGCAGTGTGGCTATTCCTGCTTGGGCTGAAGCCTGGGCTCTGAGACCCACCTCCTTCACTGGGTACCAGAGCCTGGGCTCCAGCCCAAGCACGAATGCCTACACTACGATTTTTGGTGCCACAGCCTGAGGCCAACTCTGAGATTTGCTACGACAGGGCTTTATTTTTTCCAGTGTAGACATACCCTCATGTGAATCTCTCTCCATGTTCATTGTCTAGGGCAGTGGTTCTCAACCAGGGGTCTGGGATCCCCTACGGGGCCACAAGAAGGTTTCAGGGGTCCGCTAACCAGGGCCAGTGTTAGACTCGCTGGAGCCCAGGGCAGAAAGCCGAAGCCCCACCTTATGGGGCTGAAGCCCGAGACCCTGAGCCCTGCCACCCGGGGCTGAAGACGAAGCCTGAGCAGCTTAACTTCGCAGGGCCCCTGTGGTGTGCGGCCCCATGCAATTGCCCTGCTTGCTACCCCCTAATGCTGGATCTGGTTTTTATATGGAGAAAACTAGTTGTTGTGGCACTTGTGGGCCGTGGAGTTCTTATAGCATGTTGGGGGGAGGGGGGCTCAGAAAGAAAAAGGTTGAGAACCCCTGGTCTAGGGAACTCAGGTGCTGGACTGAAGCTTTGTGAACTGCAGTGTATTCTTGTGAATTTGTAGGCACCTAAAAGTTAGGTGCCATGACACTCAGTGTCACAATGCCTAACTCCTTCTGTGCATGCAGGTCCCAGAAACTTTAATAGGGCCAGGATTTCTCCAACAGTATCCCTCTCAAATCTCGCCTCAACATTACATTGCTCAGTCACCAAGTCTTTACTCAGTCAAAACTCCTCTTGAAATCAAAGAGCCAGATTCTTATCTGTTACAATACTGTAAATCCACAGTAACTTTCATATTACTGGGACTTTTGACTCAGGAAGGACTTCAAACCTAAGCTCATATGGCCTGATCCTGCCAAGTGCTGAGCAACTGTTAAGGATGCGCTGCACCTCAAGGAATTGCTCAGGACCTTGCAGGATCAAACCCATTGGTCTGATTAATGCAACATCTAGGGCAACCTTGGGAGACTCTGAACACTTTAAACTCTGACTGAAGTCAATGGGAGCTGAGAATTCTCACCACTGTGCAGAATTGGGCTCCCCAGTGTACAGAAGACTGAGTATAAGATATCCAGCTAGAGAAGGTTTGGTACAGGTCTTAAGTAGTCTCAGTGAACAACTTTCTAAAAACATGAAGAGAATCTTTGGAAATAAAAAGTACCCTTTAAAAAAAGGGGGGAGGGAATAAATTATAGCTAAATCAAGATGCAGCCAAAAAACAACAACAACAAAACCTGCTAGTTTAGAATAGTCTGAAAACTCTAAAAATGCTTTTAAATGCATGATTATTCTGTGCAGGAACTAAATCTCCCAGTAATATAACTTTAAAAAGAAAGAAAGGATAATTGCACACATACTATTATATTGTTACGGTGTCTCCCCAATTTCACCCCAGCTCAATTCTTTCTCTCATCCACATATTATAGCTTGTCTTTTCACTTGTAAGCTCTCTGTCATTTATTATATTTTTGTATTGGGCCTACCACAATGGGACCCAACCTGTAGGGTTGTAGTCCCATTGTGGTACATTTCTGTAGCTGAAGCCTTTGGGTGCTACAGAAATACAAATGTTAAACTATCACCATCACCCTTGGTCTTCTGCTTTTCAAAACCTGGCAATAGCGGGTTGTTAAAATGATATTTTGCTGTCTGAAGTGTTGCAGTAGCTATATTGTGAATGGACTTGCAATAAGAAAGTATGTTTGCAGTGTTGTTGTAGCTGTGTTGGTCTCTCTCAGATCCTGGGACAAGGTAGGGGAGGGAATACTTTTTACTGGATCATCTGCTGTTGGTGGAAGGGACAAGCTTTCGCGCTTCAGGACCTGAAGAAGAGCTCTGTAAAGCTCGGAAACTTGTCCCTTCCAACCCCCAAAGCTGGCCCAGTAAAATATATTACATGTAATCATTTGCAACAGTTGCCACAGAGATGATATGCACCCGGGGAAGGGAGGTGGTTCTTCCCATAACAAATAGGTGGGGCAAGTTCTCCACAAGAGACTCAATTTACTAAAATGTGGTCCACACAGGAAAAAGCCTGGGAAGCTATAATAAATAGTAATGTAATGTAATGTATGTAATGATAGCAACAGCAGCATGGCTAATTCTTTTGACTGAAGGCAACTGTAGCTTGGTCTGGTATATGATGGAATTCAATATGGACATATCCAACACCGAAAGCCTTCAAATGTCTCAGAAGTCCTCTGTCGTCTACGCATTTGGAAAGTAAAACAAAATAACGTTATGAACTGGGTTAAAAAAACTGCAACTTTACAAAAGAATGCTATGTTTATTTTCAAATGCTGTAAAAAGCCTCATATAAATCTTTTATAATGCTTCTATGTAACTTTCCCCACCACAACTAATGCAACAGTCCAGGAAAAAAAATATAGCAGTTGCCATTTAGACTCTGAGAATGAGCTTTTGTAATATGAACAACATTAAAAGGACAAGGTACAGTATGTTACAATGCTTGTAATTATCCCACACTGTATGCAATGACTTAGGTTTTTAATAATTGACCTATAAAAATAAAATTTACCTAACTCGTCAGCAAGGCAAATTAACAGTGCAAATGCAGTCTCAACAGTATTCAATTCTGAATGCTGGCAACATTACTTTGTATTTTTAACCCCTTCTCACACACACAAAATAATCCCCCTGACCATCATTTACTGCCTGTACCTCAGTTCATTAACCCATGCTGATTCGAGATGGACCCAAGTCCAAAAACTCAGCTGTATCTCAATCCAAACTTCCTCCTCAGTTTGTGGATAGTCAGGATTTTGGTTCAGGCTCACCTCTATGCAACTGATGATTTAGCAGTTTCTCCTGCTGGAATAGATTAACTTCCCAGAAAAAAACTTATGAATTATATACCCCATTCCACATTTAACAGAAGTTAACAAATCATAGGCATGGAAATCAAAACTTCACATGGTTGCAATCATCAAGCCATTTCAGGATCTTTGGTACTCTGAGAATAAGAAAGAAAATGGCACAATGACAAACACTGTCAAAAGAAAAAATTAACAAGCAAAAAGATATGTTGCACTTCCTTGTTTTTGGAAAGCCAGTGTAGATAAACCTTCTGTTGTCTTTAGATCATTACAGTGTCACAGACTTGCCTTTAAAAAGAATTCCCACTACCGTTCTAAAAGCAGTACTCTAATATTTTCTTTAATTTGATTTGCTGATTAGATTAAAATAATGCCATTTTTTCAGAAAATAAAGAAATTGAACTGTCACGATAAGAGAGATTATTATGCTAAATATAATGCAGTAAGTCTCCCTAACAGTGTAACTCCTATGTGAGCATTCATTTGATTAACCATCGGCAGTTTTATATGCAAATTATTTTTAGTGTTATGACTAGGAGGGTGTAGATTTTCCCCTGGTGATAAACCAATCAATATGTACAGACAAGTCAGTGTAGTAGGTAGCTTTAAGTTAAATGTATATACTTCTCCTCTCTCCCCACACACAAACCACCAGTTTTTCTGAGTGTTTGCTATTTCCATGAAATCTCCTTAATAAATTACCTTCATGTATCTTGCAAAGTTCAATCACATAGGGTACATTTTTGATAAAGAATGGCTACTTACTCTATATTAACTGTGGTTCTTCAAGATGTGTGGCTCACATGGATTCCACTTCTGGGGTGCATGCACCTAATAAGTGTGAGATTAGGTTCTTTTGAAGAGCAGCATCTGTTGAGGCTGCATCTGCCTCCTGGATGTTCTGAGGGCATAAGGGCCAGAGCAGGCCCAAACATCCCTCAGGGAAGGTGGTCAGGCTGTAGAACACATCTCAAAGAACCACAGGTACTGTAAGGCAAGTAACCTTGTTTACATAATTGTCCACATATGTGCCACTTCTGGTGCCTCACAAGCAGTGACCTCACTGTCCAGAGGTCTACTTGCAGTCTGTTTAAACAATGGTTGCAGGACAGCTCTGGCAAAGTGGACATCAGATCTGGAGCTCTCTACTAAGGATTAGTACTGAATGAAAATGGTAGTTAGCCTACATAGCTCAAAAAAGGGAATGCCACTTAGAGGAGCTGCAGATGCTGCTGGGGCATGATGGAATGGGCCCTGATCTGCAGAGGTGGAGCTACAGAAGTTGATTAATAAGGTTAAGTATAGGGTGGAACCTGTCCTCTGGTTGGTATGCTCTCACTGCTGAGCAAGAGGAGGAGTATCTTTCTTCCATAGGTGGAGCTACCCTTTCAGGTGTTCTCAGGATTTCTGAAATATCTGTACCAAGGCGAGCGGCTTCTTCGAGGAAAAGAGCAATGTTGTCTCTGGTTGTTTGATGACTGTTAAATTACTCTGTGCATGGGTGCATGTACACCAGGAGAGGAATCCATGTGGACAATCACTCGAAGGAGACCTTTACAAATATGGTTGATGGTTTTTATACTGTATATCTAAAACCCACCAGGTCAGCAGTAAAATAATGGTGCTGCAACATTAGCCCATGTTGCTTTTTAAAATGATATGTTTTTCTCCTGGGTGGATTAGATGGCTTACAGTACAAACAAAGCCACAGTACACAGAGGCATAATTAACCTTTATACACACATAGGCAGTGCAGTTGCAAAGGGATGTATGATCCTTTTATTCCAGTACCTTTGTATAATAAAGTTAACAAAAATATTCAAATATTAAAAAAAAAAAAAAAAAAGACCAGCTGGCACTGCCAACTAATTCCTGTAGTAGTCTTAGAAATCCTAATCCTGTAGAATTTCCTTGTGAAGTCGATGCGCACCAGAGTCACTGTATTGATATCTACGCCAAGCAGGCCTGGTGATGCAGCTACCTGAGGTTTGTTTTTTGTTTTGTTTTTAATTTTATGGGGTTCTGTTTTGTTTCACAACTTCCCAGCTTTCATGTAGGAAGGGATAGAGCCACGCTGTGTAAGCCCTTCAAACCTCTTGTAGGTATAATTGAGGAAAACCCAGTCTTTGGATTTGTAGTCAGGTTCTGTGGTATTTGGCACTGGAATGTAGAAGTCAAAAAGAAAGAATAAAAAAAAATTAAGTATTGCTGGTAAGAAAAGTCACCACACAATGTCAGGCAAACAATCCTGAAGTTGGTTCTCTCTAGCATTATAAAGATTGCAGGTGAAATCCTGGTCCTAGCAAAGTCAACGGAAGTTTTGCCATTAACTTCAAAAGGGCCAGGATATCACCCTGCATCTTTGAGGAAGGAACGGCCTTTATATTGCCTGCCACAGTAAGATCCTGATCCCCAACTTTCACCACAATTAAGAAAAACAACAACTTTTAGGAACTGACACACACACAGACAGACACACACAGACACAACACACACACGGTATCCCACCAAAAACAGCAGCAAAAAATCAGACCTTTCCCAACAGGACTGTACCACTCTATACTTATACTCTTTTTGAATTTCTTCACTAATTAGTGCTTTTGTGACATTTGTAGAGCATTTAGGAGAGCTAACATTTTACTTTATGAACATCTAATATTATTCCAGTGCTGAACACAGAATTGTTCTGTAAAATAATTATTCAGATTAATGTTCCTATAGTTCTAAGCTAAAATGTTCAGACTTGGTGCTGAAAGTTAAGTTCTCAAGTTCATATTTAGGCATCTAAAGAATAAGCAACATTTTCTGTGATACTGTGTATCATAAATGCCTATTAAAGTCAATGGGAGTAATAGAGCCTCAGAATTTATAAAAAGAAATCCATGTAATTTAATTAGCTGCCTAAATATAGAGTTAGGTACCTAACTTCAGGCATCCAGGTTTGAAAATTCTGGAATTAAAGAGGAAAACCAACTTGCCATTCTATAGGAGCCATTTCAGAGTTACAAAAAAAAATTAAGATTTTGGGTGAGTGGGATGAGCTGAAGAATAGTAAAGACTGTTTGACGCCAACATACTTAAGCATAACACACATAAATAGTATCATTGAAGCCAGTGGGAGCTGAGGGAACCCATCACCTTGCAGATTCAGGTCTTATACATTTAAGTATCTCCCGCTAAATGCTGACTTGGCACTTTTGAAAAAGTGCCTATATGACTTAAGTGACTTAGGAGCCTAATTCTCATTGTAAGTGTTTAACCTTAGTACTGCTGCTTGTCAATCATTTAGATGCTTTTGAAATTTTGCCCACAAAGAACATA